GTATGATTAAATATTATCGCTTCTAATTTTATGAACCATAAGGCTTTGGATAGCCACTTGAAAACTGGAAACTTGCAAAAAAATCTGCAGATAAATCTTCAGCAAACTAAAATATCTCAACAATAATAACTATGCTTTAGTCACAAATAAATTGGCATCGATGATATGAATCTTCGTTTCTTTCTTTAAGCTCAACATATCATCAACGGAATTTTAAATTTAAAAAGCCTAGACATTAAAAATAAAACTATACTTCTCCTACAACTAAATAAGTTAATAGACCTAATAAACAATTCACCATTCTTTTTTTGGGTTAAAGTTTTGCAATGGAGTTAATGTTAGTAAACTGTATATGTAAAATAATTCTGGAAATATAATTAATGAACATAAACAGAAATGAACATAAACAGAAATGAACAACAAAATAATAGAAAACCAATTCGAGCCCACTGAATTCACAATGTTTTCTTAAGGAATTTAATCCCCTCCTAGTACCCAAAGTTATGGATTATTTTCTCCCAGGATAAAACGAATTACACACTGGTATAGTGGTACTTCAAACCCCAGTGTCTCAGCGAACACAAAGTTCGGTAGCAAATCACACTTACTGTTGCTTTGTTTGATGCTAAAAGTATGCAGAAGAAGGAGGAGAAACTCAGGAAATCGTATGAAAATTCTGAGCAGAATAGTTGTAACAACCCGACCGGTCGTTTTGAGCTTTTGCACTTTGCTTGCCAGTTCTTGGGTATGACTAGCCCCGTGTGATGTATTATGACTTATTTAAATCATCGGTTTGGTTTTCAGGATGATCAGAATGAATTTGGAATAACCGTTTTCAGTTTGAAGCTTAAAAATTTAAAAGGTTTGACCAAGTTTTGACTTGTTAGCATATGATCTCATATTGGAATTTTTATGATTTGGTTAGATCTGTTAGGTGATTTGGGATTTAGGAGCGTGATCGGAATGTGTTTTGGAGGTCCGGAGTAGATTTAGGCTTGAATTGGCGAAATTGAAAGTTTTCCGGTTGATAGGTGAGATTTTGATATATGGGTCAGAATGGAATTCCAGAAATTGGAGTAGGTCCGTTTGTTATTTGTGACGTGTGTGCAAAATTTCAGGTCATTCGGACGAGGTTTGATAGACTTTTTGATCGAATTCGGAATTCGGAAGTTTTGGAATTCTTAGGCTTGAATCCGAGGGTGATTCGATATTTTGATGTTGTTTTGAGCGTTCCGAAGGGTGGAACAAGTTTGAATGATGTTTTAGGATTGGTTGGCATGTTTGGTTGAGGTCCCGTGGGGCCTCGAGTGAGTTTCGGGGTGGTTCCGGACCATTTCTAAGCTATTTTTAGCTACTGGTTTTTGGCTACAGCAGTGTTCTACGCGATCGCGGGGAATTGGATACGATCGCGATGAGTAAAAAAAGAAAAAAAATGTCAGTGCTTCGCGATCGCGGATGAACCTTCGTGATCGCATAGAGTAAATATTCTGCTGCACCGATCCAATTTTGGAAGCTTATATCTCACAATCTATAAGAAATTTGGAAATGATCCAAAATTAAAGTTGTAGCCCTTTGTGTCTAGTTTTCAGAAATGTAAATTAATTAGAATTTTAAGTTGTGTACAAAAAGTTATGCAGGTTACACTATAGGCAGTCCGGGAAGGGTTTAGGAATCTCTAATGCACAGGGCTGACTTTGGAAGCTTTTATATCACAATATATTTAGAGTCAGGAAATGAGCAATATATGAAATTATATCTCTTGGTGTCTAGTTTTCAGAACATCTAACCATTTATCATTTGGAGTTGTGTGCAAAAAGTTATGACCATTATACTGGAAATTGTCTAGAAAAGCTGAGAACTTGTTCTTCGCGATCACGAAGAGCAAAGTTTGGGCTGAGAAAAGTTGTGCTTTGTGATCGTAAAGCATTTTCTGCGATCGCGAAGAGTATATACCTGGGCAGAATGTTTTAAAGACCTGTTCCGCGACTTTGAACCCTTTTTATACCATTTTTGAACGGGAAAAGAGCTTGGAGGCGATTTTGAAGAGAGAAAATCATTGTTCTTCATTGAGGTAAGGATTTTGAACTCTTAAACTTGATTAGTTGTGATTAAGGTACGAAAATATCAGTGTAAACTCATGAAAATCAGTAGAAAAAGGTGGAGTTAGGGCTTGAGATTATGAGACCTTCTAGGAATGATTTGAGGGGTCAAATGAACTCCGATTTTCGAGTTCTTTATATGTACGGACTCGTGAGATGATGAAGAACATTTTGGTATAAAGTTTTTCTAGTTCCGGGATGCTGGATCGGAGGCCGGGTTTGAGCAATTTCGGGATTTTGATGTTAAATTGGATATTTTCAAGTGGGCTTCGTTCCCTTAGCATATTTTAATGATTATGTACTGATTGTGGCTAAATTTGGAGCATCCGGAGGTCGATTCATGCGGGCGAGGCATCGCGGGCTAGATTTTGGATCGGATCGAGGTAAGTGATGATTGTAAATACTGTCCTAAGGGTTTGAAACCCTGGATTACACATCGTGGTGTTACTTTGAGGTGACGCACACGTTAGATGACAAGCGTGGAGTTGTGCACCGTTGGGGATTATGACTTGGTCCGTCCCGTATGACTGTTAAGTCGCGTATTTGATTCGATATCTTATGATATTCTATATTTTAGAGATTGATATTATATTTTTGGATGTATGCCATGTTTGGGGCCTTATGCCGACCTGTTGAGACCCTTATGGGCATTTTTACTATTTTTCCTCACTCTATGTGTTTGATAGCATATCCTCAGTCATGTTTTACCTGTTTATTGTTTAAAATCTGGTTTTATCACTATATTTCTTAAAAATGTAAAAACTGCTTGGGCTGAGTTTCCTGTTTTACTGATGGTCCAAGTGATCGTGAGTTGATGACTGAGATAGACCGAGTGTCTGATTGTGAGGTTGATGACTAAGATAGACTNACGCCGCAGCGATATAGCGCTTGGGTTGTAGGAGCCCCTCCGGAGTCTGCACACCCCCAGTGAGAGCAGTCGACTATATATATGGATCGGGCTGCACGCCGCAGCGATATGTGGATCGGGCTGCACGATGCAGCGGTTACTATATGGTACCTATTGAGCGTAAGTGCTGAGTGTGAGCGCTGATTGGTAAGAGTTGAGTCACGAGTGACTGAGAGGCTAGCCCAAGGGGCGATAGATATATACATGCACATGAGTGATGCTTGCCTGAGGGGCTTGGTTATGAACTTATTGATTTTCCCTCCTCTTTAAGTGAGTTTCTATCGAATATGTTGAATTATTGACTGCTTTCACTCATCTTTACACTTAGCCTCTGTCGAAAACGTTGAATAAATGTTTTTAAACAACTTTCATTTAAGATGGGGTTTATGAGATGTTCAGAAATTAATCACTGATTTGGCTTTTGTTATTTCCACTGAGATTTTCTTGTTATGAGGTGTTTATGACTCCTGTTTTGCTCGAGGGGCTGTTTACGAACTATGTTTTGCCCGAGGAGCCGATTATGATTTTTCATCTCTTTTATCAAAAATGGTATTGAATCCCTACTGAAACTGTCGGAAGGCATTTTAAATAATTTTTACCAAAAGCTGGATTTTAAATGAGGCGATTGACTCGTATTCTGATTTAGCAGCCTGTGTGCTTATGGAGTTTAACATAAATGTGGATTCATTGTTTCCTACTACTCGGTCTTTATTTACTCTTATTACTTACTGGGTTGGAGTACTCACATTACTCCCTGCACCTCGTGTGCAGATTCAGGTATTTCGGAACCCGGTGGCGAGTGTTGGTTGCTCAGACGCGGAGTCATCAGAGTTAGCAAGGCGTGACTGCACGACGTTCGCAGCACTGATACCTTCCTCTCTCTTTTTTTCATTTCTGTACTAAGTACATTTTGACTGTTTTTGTTGTATCCAGACCTTGGTAGATGCTCATGGCTAGTGACACCCCGATGTCGGGCTTGTATGTTATTCCGCACTGTTTGTTCAGACGTATTATGAAATATTGTTTAACTAAAGGCTTAAAAATGACTCTAGATGATTAAAGGGTTATATGAGTGTTGTGTCGGCTGGTCTTGTCTTCACGAGAGGCGCCATCACGAACGGGCCGATTTGGGGTCTTGACAATAGTGTTGTATTTATAGCCAAAGTTGGGTTGAAATCTGAAGAGGTGCAACTCTTTAGAATGGTTGTTTATGCAAAACACGGCCTCTCTTTTCAGCAGCTTTGTTGTCCTCTTCGATACTCAACAATAAAGAGGGAAAATAAAGTTAATATTAATATTTATTTTAATATTAATATTCTGTTATTAAAACAAATATTTAATAATATTTCTTTAATATTTTACTATTAACAAATAAATTTGGTCCAAAAAATTAATCAATGAAGTCGAACGAGCGACGACGGCGCGAGGCTTGCCTTCTTCTCAACTCTTTAAGAGCTAGAAGAAGAGCAATTGCTTATATACCCATAAAAAAACCTCTTCCTCTTCCAATATGGGACAATATCCCTTTGCCAAGGGGGAAAACTTAAAATTTCACTCAAAAATTTCATTTTCCTCCATTTCTCATTCACCCTCTTTTAAGTGTTTAATATAATTAAATACATAAAACCCAACAGTTAATAGTTAAGAGTATTACTGCCATTGGACTAGCAATTCTCGTTATACGTATTAGACTGTCTACTACTGAAATATCCCTGATATTTTGTTCCTAGACATGGCTTGCTCCAAATAGTTTATATGTCATAACAAACACGTTATTAATTAATTTGTTAGGGTCATGCACTTAAGTATTGAATTTGAGCTTGATTAACGCATTTGGATGTTACATAGGCAAAAAACAGTGCATCTTTTTCATTTCAAATTAAGAAACAAATCATGTGAGATTAATGTTTAATTGAGGATTCTTTCCCCTATCCATTTCAAAACTATTTAAAAAAACAAATCATCTAGCTCCAAATACTCTCAAATTCCTCATCTAGTCCCTATTACCATGAAAGAACACCAAACAACATCCAAAAACAAGCACACTATGATTATCAATAAGCTCATATTATCTTGTATGTTCTTCATATTTCTCTTATATTTGATACTAAGAACAAATTCTCCATCTTTCAACCTAAAAAACCTACCAATACACTCATCAACTTCCTCAACATGCAACAAAATTCCACCATCTCTAGCTGAAGCACTTTTCCACTATGCAGCTACCAATATTACACCCCAACAAAAGCACGACGAAATTTCGATGACCTTTAGGGTACTTGAGAAGAAATCACCATGCAATTTCTTGATCTTTGGACTTGGATTTGATAGCTTAATGTGGAGTTCATTCAATCATAATGGACGAACTATCTTTATCGAAGAAGATAAAGATTGGATCGAGAAAATTACTAAAGAAGTACCTACAAAAATAGAAGCATATCATTACACATATGAAACTAAACTTGATCAAGCCACTGAACTTCTAAATATTGGTAGAAGGGAAGATTCTTGCAAAATAGTGGGCGATCCAAGAAATTCTAAGTGTCCACTTGCCCTAAAAAATTTGCCAAAACAAGTTTATGAAATTGAGTGGGATGTTATAATGGTAGATGCACCAACAGGTTCTTCATTTGATCAACCTGGTCGAATGAATGTGATATATACTGCTGGATTATTGGCTAGAAATAAAGAAAATGGAGAAACTGATGTATTTGTGCATGATTGTAAAAGGTATGCTGAAGATAAATTTTCAAGGAGTTTTCTTTGTGAGGAATATATTAGAGAGGAAGTTCGTTATCTTAGGCACTTTACTATCCCAAGTTATAGAAGTGGTTTAATTAAATCCTTCTGCCCTTGAGTCCTAGTCTTGTCGAGGGTGAAATTTTATCACGTTGAATTTTTTGTTTTTTCCTATAGTCTTTTAATTAACATATAGTTTCAAGTGTGGGATAATATATATTGAGTCAAAAAATACACGAATGAGGGAATTCGTATGTGGAAAGCCAAACTACTTGTATTTGTTTTAATTTTCTTGTTTTATGTATTTTTGAAAAGTATTGGTGTGAGTTGATGCAAAAAATTCTGCATTAAGTATAGTTGAATTTATCATAATCCATTGAATAAGAGCGACTCAAGATCGTGAGGGTTCAAAAAAGAAAGAAATGAAGTAATTCTTCTATATGAATCAAATAAAAAAAATTACCTATTCACTTTGAAGGTCTTTCATAATATATTTTGCAAATTGGCTTTTGGTGATATCATTTGATTCTTGGAATGTTTTAGACAAATATGTGATTAGAATTTTTAAATTAAATAAAACATGTGATATAAATTAAATGGAAATGAAATAAAAATATAACTAAAAGGAAATTAATGCTTCATCTTGATAATTGTTTTGATTGAAAGATCAATATTAGGTTTAATTGGAGTTGGCAAGGATGATATACTGAACTGTTAGGATTTTGCCCTAAATTTTTAATCTATTAGGACTCTCTTTCTTTAAAAAAAGGAAAAAAACTTTTAAACGGATTAAATTTCCTTCATATGCCTTATACTTTTCTTGGTAGAGAAATTTGGCACTTCTATAAACTGAGACTTCCTTCTCAAACAACAACAACAAAAAAAAAATCACAATATAGTCATTAAAGAGCCTTGTTTAAGAAGAGATCTTCTCTCAATAGTTTTTATAATTTTTATACTAGTTTTTATACGTAGGTCAATTGACTAAATCCTATTATAGTATCCTATTTTAGTATATTGTCATCTATTTATTGTCCACTAAATTTTATATTGTTAGTTTTCGCATGCACCATGTTATTTCGATCCTAACATGCACATCGAGTTCTTAGAAAATGGAAATACCGCTATTTTACCTTAAAATAAATTAGATATATAAGTTTGGAGAATTCTTAATGCATAATTAACAATCGTATATAACAATTGCACCAATTACTTGATCTAACTGATTCATTTTATTCTTTGGATATCTTTCTAAGCTAATAACTCGATTTTTTGGCCATAACAATTACATGCTTCAACTAATAGTAACAGAAAAAAATTACAGCACATGACATAAATTGATGTATATCCTACACTAATAAGCAAATAAATCAAGCATCCCACGTGATTAGGATAGTTTAATAAGACCACATGTATCTAATTTTGGCATATAACTAGCTTACCAATTTTGGTAAAAGTAATAGTTTAACTGGGAAAAGTTTCTCAAAAGAACTGTAATTATATTAACATAGGTGTCCAAAATATGCGCTTTGACCAATTTGAAGTACTTAATTGTTAAATTGTGAAATTAGAGGTCTGGATTTGAAACGACGTCGTTTGCTTCTCCAATTCTTCTCTCCTTTATCTTCTTGCATCGGTTGTCGTCCTCATAGTAACACTGCAATTTTTGAGAATGGCGAAAGGGAAGAAAGAGCTGCTAGCGTCAGCACCATGGAGGGTAGAGTCAGAACAAGACGACAAATTCAAAGACGCAAGGCTCAAAGTCACTAGCCAACCAGGTCAAACGCCGACTATGCACGTTCCTGGTAAAAAATCCGTGAAATCCAATGTTAATGAAACTGATGATTCTCTTGAAATTGACCCTGAACTTCGTTACAGCTTCCAACGTAACTTTCAGGTCCCTCTCTCTCTCTTTCTGTGTGTGTGTGTGTGTGTGTGTGTTATGTAGATATGTACAGATAGGTTACAGGCAGTGTAATTTATGTAGCCGGCCCTAAGCTTGTAGATGAATTTGTAGAACTAATAGCAGCAAAATCAACGACCGGTCCAAGTTATCCAATGTTGACCATGGCATTTTCCATCATGAAGACAATATGGAACTTGAATTGGGTCTTCTAGTTAAAAGATGGAGAGCTGAATTGGGTTCCACAACCTAAAGTGGTCATATGTGTGAGATTAGCATACCTCATATGGTTTCACTTTCGTAGAGAAGGATTGTTAAATCATTATGAGGTGGAGGTGGTTTAAAGGTACTAACATTCATTTTGGTGAAGTATTTTGGTTGTCATAGAGCGCATAGGCCTTAATTTAACAACTTAGACAACTCACTGTAGCATCAAAGTGGCTTTCAGTGTATTGCTTGTGTCAGGAAAAGCAGTACATTTAGTAGATAATATATATTAGGGTAGATTTGTAGTAGTTCTGCGCAACGAGGAAACTTGTGCTTTGTTATGGTTCAATTGCAGCTCTATGCCCTTCTATGTAAGTGGAGGGACAGTAAGTTACTATGTGTCAAAGTACTAAATTAGTTCCTTGTCTATAGTTGAACTCGGGCGGTTTTCCCCTTATACCGGTTTTTTTCTTATTTAGTCCTCAACGTTGAGAGCAAGACAATAAATAATTGCAGCAACTTGAAAATACATGAAAAATAAAGTGAAAAAGAAAGGGAAACTATTACAGTAAAAGGAAAATATAAAGGCACAAGGAAGAATCTAAGGACAGCGATGATATTGGGATTTGGGAAGCTCCTCCATTCGTACCTATCCCTTCTCATTGCAATTAGCTGCAGCCACCTCTGTGCTTCAGTACACCATTGTCTGCTTTGCTTCTCCTTCGTCTCTCATCCTTTTACTCTTCAACCACCCTTGTCCACTCCTTTGAGCTCTTCTCCAATGCCCTCTATTCCTCTCCTCACATTTGTTACTTCCGCAGTTTCACTCTCTCTCATCGCCTGGCTGCTTCTTACAGATGCCTTGCTTAAACTTACTTTTTAGCATTTAATCAAGCATATCATGAGTCTCATTTGATAGTGCAAAAGTCTGTGCTCAATGGTTTTGTCCCATGATCTCCTAGTGCTTAAGTTTAGGGTTTTGACAAGGATACTCGCTATGGTTTTGGGGTTTTTTTCATGCATCAATGAATCATATGTTGAAAAATATTTTGCGCTTTTGGATGATAGCAATATCAGATTAGCTTTAGGAGGTTCCAGATGGTCTTTCTGTGTCGAGAATCCTTGGAGTTGAAATTTTGGGCATATTTTCAAGCGAATACATGAATCATTTGGGGTAATAAAATAATCAAAGCTGAAGAAGGATGAAAATGGAGAGTATTGTATAAAACCAAAATAAATGGATGTGTAATAGAGGTTTGATTGAAGAATTGAGTGAAGGAACTGTGGCATATGGATGGCGAAGCTAGGGAGCAGATGTATGGTCCAGGGCTTTGGTCTAGTGGTAGGAGCAGAATGTGTGATGTGTAGATTAGGTGCACATCACGGGTTCGAATCCTCCCGCGGACAAAAGCCTGTATTTTAGTACAGAAGGGTAGAGGGGCGGACTCACTATCAATCGAGTTTCAAACCATGCGCCACTGATCCTCAGGGATTTCTCTTATCAAAAAGAAGAAGAAAAAAAGATGGCAAAGTGCATAATCCAAACGTTCTTGATGATTCATTCTTCATATGTTTGTCTAAATCTTATTACAGAGATTTGCATTTTCAAAACCAATTGCAGTCTAAATCTAAAATTAAAGCTGCAGAGATTACAGTCAAAAGGGAACTCATATCTGATTCTAAGAAGTACAGGACGTAGGAAATTTGGAAAATTAAGTGGTTTCTCTGTTTTGATAAAGGATGACTACCTTCAATATCAGTATCTACTATACTTAACAAAAAAAGAATATTTCTGTGTTTGTTGTACTCTTAAATTCTATTGAGCCTTTGATTTTTCTTGCTTGGTTACAAAATATTTATACGGTTCTGGCATTTATTTGCAGTTTCTTCAACGTGTCTTCAGCATTGACACTGTTGTTAAACCTCTGCCTCCTGCAATGGCATATAATGTTGCTCGTAACTTGACCTTCTTCACGAGTATCTTTACACAATTCTTTGGTAAGTCTATTTGTCTGTTGCATATTACTAACTTTTTTCTAGGGGAAAAGGGTCCTTCCTTTGTGGTGTCCCCTTGGGAGCTACTTTTGGCTAGTTGGTTCTTATCATGTTTCCACTGAACTGTTTGTTCTTCTCATGAAGACTCCTTTGTTTGCTTCTTTTGGGGTTTCTGTCCTTGTATCTTTTTGTTTCGAGGTTGGGGATTATTTGGAGGTTTTTCTTTTTGGTTTGCAAGTAAAGCTTAGCTGGGCTTGAACTTTGGAGTTTTGGGTGTTAGGCTGGGCCTTAAAACAATAAGCATTATTTATTTAGTTGTATATATGCAAGCTGATGGAAGTTGCAAATTTAAGGTGGGGATGTATTCATGACAAGCATAATCTTCTGCGGTTTGAATAAAAGATGAAAGGTGAAAAAAGATTTTCTTTTGTTTCCACCTTATCAAAAAAAAAAAAATTTCTTTTGTTTCCCCCTTTGTTCTTTTGGATCTTCTTTTGCTATCGAGGGGTGGATAGTACAAGGAAAGCAGATGAAGCATGAAGATCATCTGTTTCCTTTTCCGCCCTCTTCTTTTTTGGCCGTTCTAAAAACTTTTAGACATCTTTCATTTCCTTTCTTTAATCGAAAATTTTCATTTTGGCAGATCCAGAAGGAATAGCAAATGCACAAAAATCTCTTGGCTTAGGACAGGAAGAAAAAGTTCGTAAGGTCCGTTAACGGAGTCTCTGCAAGGAGTGTTGAGTTTTCTTTTTCCTTTGCTGTACCTCATATTTTCTGGAGACTCAGGCAGTTTTGTACTCTATATGCATTTGCTGATAAATGACAAGTAATCTTAAAGCTCATTAGTTTACCAGCACAAGTGCTAATGACCTCCTATTCAGATGAGAATCTCTACGCGACTAGCCCCATTTAGTCATTCCACATTTTGATATGAACTTCTGATAATAGGGGCCCAATTTAGCTTAAAACATGTGAGATCTCTTCTGAATGGAAAAGTTCTTTGTCTTCTTGATCCTTGTCAACAATTTTTTCTGGATAACAGGTGTTTCTACATCTGGATTTTACAATATTAACAGCACTGCTGTTTTCTTCTGCAAAGGTTCACCTTCATAGTAGAATAATTTCTGCAGAACATCAGGTGATTTCTTATATCTGTCCAAACCGTAATGGACAGAGTTACTCGGTATCTCTGTTGGGTATCTGTGCTAGTGGAATGTA